ACGTATGGGCACCCTCCACACCCTTAAACTTAATTCCTCATAGTTCAGGCTAGCCTTGGAGTGTACCTGAGGAGGACCCTGAACTTTTTGGTTTTTGAGACAGGGTTTCTCTGTGTAGCCCTGGCTGTCCTGTAGACCACTCAGCTCTGCCTCCCAAGTGCTGGGATTAAAAACACCCACCACCACCGCCCACCAGACTCTGCACTTATTTTTAAACAAAGTTTGAACTCCATTTTTTAAAATACCATATTTATTTTGTAAATTTAAATTACATTTATTTATTTGTGTGGATGTATGTGGGTGGATGTGGGCATGCCACAGTGTACATATTGAGGTCAGAGGATAACTGCCCTCCCACCGAGTGGATCCTGGGAATTGAATTCAAGTCTTCAGTCTTCATAGCGAGCATCTTTACCTGCTGAGCCACTTTGTGAACTCTGTTTATTCATTGACTGGTTGACTGGTTGGTTGACTGGTTGGTTGATGTGATGTGTGTGCATATAGGCACACACTTGCTACAACATGTATGTGGAAGTCAGAGGACAGACAAGTGGGTAGCATTAGTTTTTCTCCTTCAACCTTTACAACTCTGGTTGTTAGGCTATGAGGGAAATGCTTTTACCTGCTTAGCCATCAGGAGATCCCGAAGACCTTGAACCTCTGGCCCTCCTGCCTCTACCTCCACAGTGTTAGAACTGCAGGCATGCACCACCACATCTGGGTTGAACATCGGGCTTCCTGCATTGATAACTGAGCATTCTACTTACTACTTACTGAGCTATATTGTCTCTCCATGATGTTTGTTGTTGTTTTGGGAAGAGTCTCTCTAAGTAGCTCTGGCTGATCTGGAACTCACTATGTAGACCAGGTTGGCCTTGAACTCAGAGTGATCAACCTGCCTCTGCCTCCCGAGTGCTGAGATTAAAGGTGAATACCACCACTCCTGGTTCTAAGTTTTTTTTTTTAAACTTATTTATTTGAATCTGTGTGTGCATCCTGAGTTTATGTGAACCACATTCATGGAGGCCCACATTCTATAGAGCACAGACTAGGGTATGGGCTTCCCATGGAACTAGAGTTACAAGATGTAGGTGCTGGGAACTGAAGCTGGGGCATTTTGCAAGAACAGCAGTTTCCTGGATATTTGATCTCCTTGCCATTCAGTGTTCTCTCTCTCTCTCTCTCTCTCTCTCTCTCTCTCTCTCTCTCTCTCTCTCTCTCCCTCCTCCTCCTCCTCCTCCTTCTCCTTCTGTTTGTTTGCTTTTGGGTTTTTCAAGACAAGGTTTCTCTGTGTAGTCCTGGCTGTTCTGGAACTCACTTTGCAGACCAGGCTGGCCTTGAACTCAGAGATCTGCCTGCCTTTCCCTCCCGAGTGCTGGAATTAAAGTTGTGTGCCACCACCACCCAACTACCATTCAGTTCTCTATTTTTTGTTTCAGAGATATTTATTGAGAGCCTACATTATACAGGCAGTTTTTAAAAATGTATGTATCTGTCTCTCTGTGTGTTGTTATGGGAATCTTCATTGATCACTCTGTCTTGTTCATTTTCACAACTGGATCCAGAGCTTGCTGATACAGGCTGGTTGAGCTATCCAGCTTGCTTCAGGGGCATCCTTGTGTCCACCTTCCAAGCTACCAAGCTTTCTGGAAGTGACATGGGTTCTAGGCATCTGAACTCCAACCCTCTCACTTACACAAGTGTTTTAGCCACTGAGTCATCTCCCCAGCCTTCCAGAGAGTTTTCTAGGTGTCTGATAGAGACAAATAACAAACACCTGAGTGCATTCTCAGGGTGCGCTTTTGTGGGGGAAAAGACAGTACCCAGAATATCAGTAGATTCCATGGTTCATGGAGGAAAATGAGGATGACAGGAAGTGCAGGCTAGGGTGTGCTGGTGGGGAGGGTTGTCCCTGAGCTCATGCCATGGTCAGGGAAGATGTCAGAAGACCATGGCGTCCATCTCCACCCAGGCCATGAGACCATGCCACTGCCAGGAATATGAAAAGGGTAGTGTTCCCTGGTGGAAGGATGGCAAGCACAAAGTCTAGTGGGCAAGTGGGCCCAGCGAGTTCCAGGAAGCAGTTCAGAGTGGCAGATAGGTGACATCAGGGTGGTATGTGGAGGGTGGACAGATCCTTAGGGTACCTCTGGGCCTTTGGAGGCACTTGAACTGTGTGTGTGTGTGTGTGTGTGTGTGTGTGTGTGTGTGTGTGTGTTTCTATTTCTGTGTCTTTGTTTTGCAGGTTACTTGTGTATACTAGGGAAGAGCTCTGCCACTGTCCCCAGCTTTTTTCATCCCTTTTTCCCCCCTCAAGAAACTCTATCTCTGATGTTGCTCAAGCTGGTGTCCAGCCTTGGCAGAAACAGTCCTCCTGCCTCTCCCACGTAGCTGAGACTCCAACCCTGCCACCACACCTGGCAGAACTTGGACTCCTTTCATCTGAGGAAGATGGGAAGCCAGGGTAGCACTTTTTGGATTTTAGGAGACATGTCAGCTGCTGGGCCGAGAAGAGCTTGAAGCAGGAAGTCAGGTGGAGGTGGTTAGTGATCCAGGCCAGAGCCCCATCCATAGCCTGGTAGCCCGGTAGCCCAGACCACAGAGCTGAGGTGGGGAGACGAGACCCGGTAGCCCAGACCACAGAGCTGAGGTGGGGAGACGAGACCCCGTAGCCCAGACCAAGAACTGAGGTGGGGAGACGAGACCCAATTCTGGGAATATTTTGAAAGTGGAACTATGATAGACTCAGTCATTCCCTCATCCATGCCTTGATTTCATTCATCGCGTGCCAAACACTGGAGACGTTAACACGTTTGCTTTATGAAACATGGTCTTATTATGTAGCCCGGGCTGACCTGTAGTTCCTGATCCCATGTCAGCTTTATAAGTACTGGGTGGCAGGCATGTGCCCCTCATTCCCAGCTTTGGAGGTGCAGACTGGAGAGAGAGCAGCCAGTGTATTTTCCTCTGGGGTATTGAGAGTCTAACGGGCACAGATGACTGATGAGCTGCCAAGGCCTGAGAGAGAGGAGCAGCCCAAGAACTATTTCCCAGATGGTCGGTCCCTGAGGTTCCGAACATCCCCTGCTGTATTGGCTAGTTTTATGTCAACTTGACAGAAGCTACTTAGTCATCAGTGAAGAGGGAATCTCAATTGAGAAAATGCCTCCTTAAGATGGACTACAGGCAAGCCTGGAGACATCTTCTTCATCAGTGATTGATGTGAGGCCCAGCCCACTGTGGGTGGTGCCACCCCTGGGCTTGTCCCAGGTTCTATAAGAAAGCAGCCTGAGCAAGTCATGAGGAGCAAGCCAGTAAGCAGCACCCCTCCATGGCCTCTGCATCAGCTCCCGCCTGCAGGGTCCTGACCTGTTTGAGTTCCTGTCCTGACTTCCTTTGATGATATTAACTGTGATATGGAAGTATAATCCAGATAAATCCTTTCCTCTCCACGTTTCTTTGGCCATGAGGTTTCATCACAGCACAGTTACTCTGACTAAGACACCTACCTACCCTGTCGCTCCAGCTATCCCACCACCAATGCTGAGACTTGCCACCATATCTCCAGGCGTGGATTAGCCTGTGGCTCTCAGAAACCTTTTCTCTGTCACCCCTAATTTTTTTCTCTCCATTTTTTATTTACGTTAGAAACAAGATTATTTTACATATCAATCCCAGTTCCCTCTGCTTCTCCCCTGCCCCCCCCCAACTAACACCCCACCTATCCCATACCCTTTCTGCTCCCCAGGGAGGGTGAGGCCTTCCATGGAGGGGGTCCTTCAGCGTCTGTCATATGCTTTGGGATGGGACCTAGGCCCACCCCTTGTGTTTAGGTTCAGGGAGTATCCCTCCATGTGGAATGGGCTCCCATGTCACCCCTAACGTATCCCTGGCTTTTGTCTTTAAACTCTGATCACTTCTTTAGACTAAGAATATATTGTCCTTCCTGAAGCAGAGACTGAGAGCTACAACAGAGTTGTCCTCCTGCCCCTCATTCTGCCTTAAGAAAAATCAATGAAAGACTGGGTTTTCTCTGTAGCTCAGGTTTGTTACGATAAATCTTTCTGCCAAAAGCCGCCTGAGCCCTACCGCCACGTGTGAGCTTTATGCCAGATGCCCGCCTGAGTTAGGCCCAAATGAATACACAGAAACTTGTGGAAATTTCAAAGCTGCTTGGCCAATGACTAGGATTCCTCATCTGTTAGCTCAGTCTTAACTATCATAAACCTATATATTTTATAAGACTTACCTTATCAGACGCCTTATTGGCGTCCCTCCTTGCCGGTGGATCACATGGCGCCGCTGGAGCAGGAGCAGAGGGGAAAAGAGAGACACTTTCTGTTTCTCCTTCTTTAAATATGAGTCTCCTTGCTATGTCACTTCCTGCCTGGATCACCACTTCTCTACTACATTTCCCAGAATCCTCTTTGACTCCTAGTCCCATCTAACTTGCTGTCTCATTGGCCACAGTATTTTATTTAACAATCAATAAGATAAACATACACAGTACATTCCCCATTACAGGTTGGACCCAAACTTGAGGCAATCGTTCCACATTGGGCTCCTAAGTGCTAGGATGATAAACAGGTGTGGCTGCTATGCCTGGCCAGAGTCCTCATTCAGCTAGTGTTACGCTCAGCATCCTAAGGCAGTAAAAATCTGTGTGGTCAAATACAGAAGAAAGACTTTAAACTAGATTGAGACAGATCACAAGAAGGCTGGGTGGAGGTCCATGGAGGGAAGCAACTTGCTGTGGTCCCAGAGCCCCTTTGTGGAGCTGCTGGTTCAAGCCTGGCTCCCTAAACCCCAGTTTTGTGGTCCTAAACTGTAACCAACCGTGGGTAACTTAGGACTTGCGTTTCATAGCTGCAGCACAATCGCCTTTAGACGATTGTGCCAAAAGCCCTGATGGATGGAACACTGTAGGAAGGTCTGGACTCACGGTTTTAGGTGCAGACTGGCTCACAGAGGTTCTCCCCTCCTTCCTTCCTTGGACACAGACAAGCCAGTGCTCCCAGGCCAGCACGTCTTCCTGGCAGATGAAGGCTCTTAATTTGGACTTGGCCATAGGGAAAGGTCAGTTTGGGGGCCAGCCTGGCTTTGGTCAGGCTCTCTAGTTACAGCCCAGGTGGCAGGCAGCCGGTTCGCCTCACCTGCCCCTGCAACAGCAGCTTCCTCACATGGCCACTCCACCCTCAGCTGACAGGGCAGGCCTCTGCTATGCCCTCTGGCCTAGATGTAGAGCAAAGAGGTGACAGCTTCCTTTACTTCAGCCTTCCCTCTCCCTCATCCAATGCCTTCCTTCCTTCCTTCCTCTCTTTCTTTCTTTGGTTGCCCTTTTTCTTTTTTTGAGACATGGTTTCTTTCTTTCTTTTTTTTTTTCCGAGGCAGGGTCTCTCTGTGGCCTTGGAGACTGTCCTGGAACTCACTCTTGTAGACCAGGCTGGTCTTGAACTCACAGAGATCCGCCTGCCTCTGTCTCCAGAGTGCTGGGATTAAAGGCGTGCACCACCACCACTGGGGTGAGACACGGTTTCTTTGTGTAGCCCTGGATGTCCTAGAACTCACTCTGTAGATCAAGCTCTCCTTGAACTCAGAGATTCACCTGCCTCTGCCTCTCAAGTGCTGGGTTCAAAGGCGTGCACCACACCACCACCCAGCCATCTGATATTCTTTGTTCTTTCCTTTTATCCTATCCAGTGGCCAAGGTCCCACTGAGGCTCACCTGCTCCCCAAGCCTGAACTCACCCCTCATCCTCAAACACATCTATTTCCAGCATACATTGCTCCATTGTGTGGCTATGTGCCCCCTAACCTAGGTACTGAGTTCTGTTTAGTGGACAGAGGTAGGAGAATCAAGGATGGACACGTTTCCTGGCCAGTCACGGCTAGAAAAAAACATTTTTTCAAAAAAAAAAAAAAAAAAAAAGCAAACAAATGCACACAAAAAGCAAAGTAACAACTAAAAAACTAGGTTGAGGATGTAGCTTAGGGGGTAGAAGCTCGCCTAGCATTACAATTACACAATGCTCTAGGCTTGGTTTCCAGCACTGTATAACCGTCATGGTGGTGCATGCCTGTTATTCCAGCACTTAGGGTATGGAAGCAAGAGGATCAGGAGTTCAGAGTCATTCTCAGCTACATAATGAGTTCAAAGTCAGCCTAGGCTGCATGAGACCCTGCCTCAATACTAGTAAATAAAAGTAATAATAATAATAATAATAATAATAATAATAATAATAATAACCCAATAAGTCTTTTTTGATATCATTTATAGTAATAGAGGATGTGGCTGGCTCTTATAGCCCGTGAGAGTCCTGGGGACACAGTGTAGCCTTTGGGTGGCTGCTTTTTAAATGTTAGATGAAGCAGGCCACCAGGTCTGAGGCAGAACCTTGGACTAAAAAAGTTGCCTGGGTTTTGTTTTTGTTTTTGGTGAGGCAGGATTGGGAATAAAGGCCTTCTGCCTGCTATACAGATCCTCAACACTGAGCTACGTCTCCTGGGAGCTCTTTCTGTATGAAAGAGGTAGGCCTCCTCCCTGGCAACTATTAGAATCTCACCTCTCATTCCCCGAATTGCTCACCAAACATCTTTAGGATCCTCCTCATTCTCAGAAGTAGCAGAAACTATGGTAGTTTCCTAGTTAAGGGCCAGGTACTCCCCTCCCAGGAGGGGAGGGGCTAAGGTGTTTAAACAGCCACTGTGGGATGAGGAGCTTGGGCTGAGTGACAGTGGCCTGTGTGACCCAATTCTACTACTTACTGTCAGGTCATCAGTCTGTCCAATAAAGGTGTAGTCTCCTCTCACTACTGGGGTATATATCCCTGTGCTCCAAAGAGGGCGGGTGGGAATGGAACTATACAGCCCTAATTCCAAGTTCCACCATGGTGGGCAGAATGAGCTCACCTTCAAGTACGCCTCACTGAGAGGTTGTGGTTGTTTCTGCAGGTCGGAACGAGCTGATTGCTCGCTACATCAAGCTTCGCACAGGGAAGACCCGCACCAGGAAGCAGGTGAGGCCAGAAAGGTCGCCCCACCTACCATGCTTGCTCCCCAGGGGTGGGAACGGCACCCACTTCTCTGAGTTCCCTGGTCCTTCCCTTTACTAGAGTCAAACTCCCTCTCCAAGGTACTGGGGGGGGGGGAAGCACATCATTGGCATTGTCCTTGTGCAGTACTGCCAGGCTCAAGGTGAACTGGGGCAGGCGGGAGTGAGCTCCCCAAAGGGGCTGAGGGTTGGGGAAGCATGAGCTATCTGGGAGGTAAGAACAGGAACTCTCTTTCTGCACCAGGTCTCCAGCCACATCCAGGTGCTTGCCCGTCGAAAAGCCCGGGAGATCCAGGCCAAACTCAAGGTAAGGGAAACAGTGTTAGCAGAGAGAAATCCCTGGGACTTGGGGTGCAGTGGAGCTTCGCAGAAGTTGGGACTCTTTTTCCAGTGGGGAAAGTCAACTCCGTGAGCTGAACCTATGGCCTCGCTGTAGATCTGTGTACATGAATGGAGGTCTCCTGCTGGGCTCTACCTGGGATTTAGTGTAGAAGGGCCCGGACTCCAGGTTTCTGTTTCCTCTGTGTTCTCTGAGATGGCAGTTTCCATCCCTTCCCCAGATGCCCCTCAGTGTAAGGTCAGTTGCAGGCAGGTCCCCTCAGGTAGACAGTCCTCCAGGAACATTAGGAGGGAGTGAGCTCTACAAGAGGGAGTTAGTTCTTAAACACATGGTCTGCCTGGCCACTTGTGAGGAAGATCTAACCTTTGGACCCTTGGATTAGACCAGTAGATAAATCTTTGTTGAAGCAATGAGACTCTCATTTTATTTCTCTCAAACAAAATCTCACCTCAGTATGCCTCCCAGTGGGTCATTCTAGTTGCAGTCAGTTTGGCAAAGAGTAGGCCAGGGCTCCCCCTACCCACACCTCAACTCGTGAGCAGCCTCTCATGCCTAAGGAAGAATCCTGTACCACCTTGAGCCCAGTTTAAAAGGTGCTGGACTGGACTGGATGACCTCACACTGTCTTGTCCATTACCACCCCCCCCCCCCTCTCTCTCTCTCTCTCTCTTTCTCTCCCCCTCTCTCTTTTGTTTTGTGGTGGTTTTGAGTCAGGGTTTTTCGAGACAGGGTTTCTCTGTGTAGCCTTGGCTGTCCTGGAATTCACCCTATAGACCAGGCTGGGCTTGAACTCACAGAGATCCGCCTGCCTCTGACTGCTGAGTGCTGGGATTAAAAGCGTGGGCCACCACTGCCCAGCTTGTCCATCACCTTAGTTGATGTGGGCCCAGAGGTAAAGCCACTGGCCCCTCTGCCTCCTAAGATGCCACACCCACTGTCCTCACATTTCCACTCTTCCTGTCCTCATCCCAGCTGTCCTCCACGCCCCATAGCTGTGGCTCAGCACCTCCATCCTTTGTCCCCAGGACAGCTGGCCTGCCTTCAGCTGTGGATCCTTCCCTGGAACACCCCCCAACCCTAAAGACAGGCTTGTTCTCCTTGTCCCCTCTCTGGTCTGCCTCTGACTCACTGAGATCCCAGGTGACAGAGCAGCTGTGTTATGTTTGGAGTGTCTAGGGAACTGTTCGATTCCTTGGGGCATCCCTACCATCCATGTTTGCTTCATGGAATCACATGTCTGTCTGTAACTTGAGACTTGAGGACAACAGCCAGTGGGCCTCGGGTCAGGCATCAAGAGGAACCACAAACCTCTTAAAACACCCAGATTGTCAACTATCTGCATCTTCCCAGAGACTGCCCTGAGGACTTTGTCCTACTTTTGGAGGCTCCTGGGACCACAGTGATTAAGCTCTGGGACGGACAGTAGGGTGAGCAGAAATCCTTGGGCTTGTTGTGCCCCATCTCTGTCTCATGGTCATGTCCTGCTCCGTTCATGAGTCTCATTCTGTATTCTCACCCACAAAGTGACGGGGTGATGTGGCAAGGAGATAGATAGGTAAGGTCCCCTTCAACTGGAAAATACATGACTCCTGACCCTGCCGTCTGGCCTTGATGTCATCCTCACGATGTCCTTTCCCCTTCCTCCTGCCTCACAAGTTGAGGATGTGGTTTCCTGAGCCCTGTCATTTGTTTAGATTAAGGATACAGGAAGGGACACATGCTGCTGGCATGGAGCCGAGGGAGCTTTCTGGACTCGGGGTGCAGTTGTTAATCTCGGCAGCCTTGAGGATATATATGGCTTGCCAAGTCACCTCAAGAAGAGGCCTGCCTGGGAGGGCTGGCCTAAAATGTTGTTTCCTCCTGGAAGTACATGACTTCAGTTATCAGAGAACAAGGCTCAAGTTTAGCCACAGGACAGTGGACGAGGGTGCCAGCGACAGATCTCACCCACTTTTGCACTGCTCTGAGTGGGGAACAATCCCGGAACCTAGTAGGGTTTCCTTGTCCTCCAGAGTGAGTGCTGGCTGCTGCCACACCCTAATGCACTTCCACTGGCGCCTTGGCTGGCACAGCCCTCTCTGTACCAGCCTAGGATGTCTTAATCATTTTTTTCTGTGATGACCAAAAAATTCCTCAGACTGGGTAATTATTATATTTTTTTTAATGGAAGAAAGGGTTTATTTCAGCTTATGGTTCCAAAGGGGTGAATGTCCATCTTGGGAGGCATGGCAGCAAGCATGAGAGCAGGAGTGGGGAGATTAGAGAGCCCATCTTCAGATATGAAGCAGAGACAGAGAGAGAAAGAGAACAGGAAGTTGGACTAGGAGAAACCCCCCTCCCCCCAACACCTGTCCCCAGTGACATTCATCCTCCAGCAAAGCTCCACCTCCCAAAGCTTTCATAAGCTCCCAAACATCACCACCAACTGGGGACCAAGTGTTCAAACAAATGAGCCTAGGGGACTCATTTCCTGTTAAACCCCCATACATAGTGTATGCATTTAACAAAAGGCACAGGTCTTAGCTGTCTGGTCCAGTGAATCTTAACATATAATTATATCCTTGTAGCCAGCACTCTGATCAAGAATAGAATGTATTCAGTTCTCCCAAAGCTTCCTTGTGTCCTTCCAGACTGGGTAATTATAAAGCAAAAAACTAGTCATGATTGTATGTGCCTATAGTCTTAACAGGAGGCTGGGGCAGAAAGCTCACTCAAGTCCATGTGTTTGAGAACAGCCTGGACAATATAGACAGGCTCTATCTTTAAAATGGGAGGAACTGGACGTAACGGTGCATGTGTATAATCTCAGTTACTTGGGAGGATCCAAGTTCAAGGTCAGCCTGGGCATTCCAGTGAGACCCTGTCTCAAAATTTTAAACAAAAAGGGGCTGGTGGTATGTATAGTTCAGGGGCAGAGTTCTTTGATAGTATGTGTAAGGCCCTGAGTTCAAACCTCAGCATCATGAGAACAATGGGTAGGGGCCGTGAATAGAGCTACTGAGTGATAGATGGGTGCCTAGCATGTGCAAGGTTCTAGGCTCAGACTCGACACAAAAAGAAAAATAAAAGTGAGAAAGGTTTCAACAAATAGATGCTGATGTGACTGGAGAGACAGAGTAGTGGTTAAGAGCCCCTGTTGCTCTGGCAGAGGGCCTGGGTTCAGTTTCCAGTACCTACATAGTAAGCAGCTCACAACCATCTGTAGCTCCAGTTCCAGGGGGCCTGACATCCTCTTCTGGCTTCGGGTAGGCACCAGCCATGTGCATACTGAATTATATGTACATCATACATGCAGGCAAAACACTCCCACACACAAAACAAATGATTAATAGAAAAAAGAAGAGATGCTTCTGTGGCCCACAATCTGAGAACGCGGCTGTAGTGTCTATCCAGTGTCTGAGAGCCCTCTTCCTGCATTAATACGAGGAGAAGGGTACCAGCACATGGAGAGCAAGCTCGCACAAGTCATTCTTCCCCTTCTTGTAAACCACTCATGCCATCATGTGGGCTCACCCTCGAGACTTTGCTTAATCACCTTCCAAAGGTCCCATCTCCAAATAACCAGCCACCTAAGAACTTCGGGGAGCACGTCTGAGCCACAGCATGAACCTCTCTCTTACGGCTAAATTCTCTGATCCCATTTCTTCACCTTCTGAGAGGGAGCCTCCTGATCTTCTGCCCTCCCGGGGATCAAAGTGCATTGGCATATCTCAAGATCCTCTGTGAGCTGTCTCAGGCCACACCTGTTTCCAGACTGCTCCTGAGTGGCTTCTGGGTAGCCACCTCTTGAGCCTGGAAACTACACTGCACCCTGCCTCAGAGTGGCCGTGTGGACTGAGGGAGATTGTCCCGTAGACAGTTAAGCTACAGAGGCTATCTGCCAGTCTTACCTCTCATCTTATTCAAGGCAGACTTGGTTCTACTGCCTTCTCATTCACTGTGAAGTACTGGTTCACTAGCCTTCCCCCTTTATAAGGATTGTAGCTGGGGCTGTGGGTTCAATGGTAGAGCTCATGCTTAGCGTGCTTGAAGCTTGGGGTTCCATCCCCAGCACTAGAAAGAGACAGAGAGGACAGAGAGGGAAGGAGGGCAGGCGGTCTGCCATAGTCTCTAGTCAGTTCAATGCTTCCACAACAGATGAGGAAACTGATCAGAGAAGCCAAGCCCCCTGCTCAGACACCAGGACATTAGTACATCACGAGCTTAAATCTGGTCCCCAGCTCTGGCTACTGGCACTAGACAGCTTTTCTGACTCTAAGGCCAGATCATGCCTCCCCTCAGCCTGGCTGGTGGCCCTGCTAAGGTCCTCCCTTCCAATGTCTCCCCAGGACCAGGCAGCTAAGAACAAGGCCCTGCAGAGCATGGCTGCCATGTCGTCCGCCCAGATCGTCTCCGCCACAGCCTTCCACAGTAAAATGGCTCTTGCCCGGGGCCCTGGCTACCCAGCAATCTCAGGGGTAAGTGGGGCAGCCCAGAGCAAGAGGCCAACACAGCTTCCTTATACTGTCTCTTCTGCAGAGCTGGGCACAGTGGCCAGTCTCGATCCCTCTCTTCTGAGTCCTCCCAGAGCCCATTCTAAACCACTGCTTGTTTGAGGTCCTTAATAACACAGCAGGCCTTTAAAAAGAGATGCAGGAGGGCTGGCCAGATGAAAATTGGCTTAATTTATAGACAAGGAAGCAGAAGTCCACGTGAAAGGTTCAGGCATTATGCTGGCCTGCCCCTGTTAACTGGTGGAACAGGCAGTACCCTGGTCAGCCCAAGGTTCCATGGGAACTAAGTCTGCACCCAGGTGCAGAGGACCCCTTTAAAAGATAGGCCCCTGCCCATTTACGCTCTCTGTTCCCTCTCTCTGTTTCCCCGCTCTGTTTCCTCTCAGCTTCCTTTCTACTCTCTCTCTCACCTATGTGCTCTCTCTATGGCGACCGGCCATGGCGGTCAGCCATTTACCCCTGTTCCTCTTCTTAGTCTCCCCATTCTGCCGGGCCTTATAATAAACTTATAGTCTTATGTCTCATGTCTCAGCATTTCTCTTTTCTTCTTTTTAAACAAAATAATAACACCACGGACTGGAGCTGAAAATCCTGAGCTTTGACCAGCACTACCCGGTCCTCAAATAGCCACCATTTATTCACCCGTGACCCAACTCCTCCTGCTCAGTATCGAGGCAAAGCCCACCTCCTGTGTGGACAGCTGATACCTAATGACAAACCTGTGCTCAGATTTTGATTTTTGTCCGCCTAATGACCAGTCTCTTAGCCATGTCCACATTGCCACACTTTTAGAATGTTCCAGGAATGGTCCCCCTTCCCAAGCTTGTCATATAGCCTCCGTAAGAGGCCTCACTTACACTGCCCTCACATGCGGGGAGGGACATGTGTTAAATTCCACAGGCCTCTCTGCCGTCGTATTTCACAGGGAGTCCTAAAGACTGCTAGGTGGGATGTTAAGTAGACAGGACAGAACATGATTGTGTAGACGCTTGGATTGTATAATTTTTTGTATTCGATGTGGGAACCATGCACCTTATGCAAGCTAAGCACATGCTCTACCACTGAGCCCCTGCGTAGATTTCTTGACTTTAGGACCTGGGAACCTTTACATGCTGAAGAACACTGCGAGTCTCGATGGGAGGGAGAAAGTGCGGGGTCAGCAAGCCTGGCTTTCCCGGTGGGGCTCAGGGAAGGACACCTTGGTGTTGCTGCGCCTGTTAGCGTCAGCCAGTTAAACAGAGGCATTGGCTTTCCTTCCTCCCACTGCTGGAGCTGCCTTTCTTCCTCCTTTCACACCCAGAGGCCTGCATGGTCTCTCCCTCAATCCTCCTGGGCTCTGGCCCTGTGCACAACACAGCCAAGCTGAGTCTGTACCTTTTACCTCCACAGTTTTGGCAAGGAGCTTTGCCAGGCCAACCCGGAACATCCCATGAGTGAGTACGGTTTGATTTTTCTATCCCAAGCTCCCCGAGCTGAATTCGAACCCAGCACTTTAGGAAATGGAGCCTAGCTTGGGGAGGTGGAAGCAGGGGGAGATGGGCTGCAGTGTGAGATCGGCCTTTCCAGGATGGCCTTGACCTTAGGGATGAGGCTTTGCTCTCAGACGTCACTTGCTTAGTCTGCATTGTCCACACTTGGAGTGCCATTTACTGAAGTGCTCATCAGGACAGGGTATAGGAGGGGCTCTAAAGCTTGGTACCCAGCGAGACATCTGCTTGGCCTCTGCTTGATGGGAGGTGGAGTGCACCAACAGACATATTGCTTCTATGACTCAAACATAAAACCTGAGGGAATTGGCAGGGGACGGTGCTGGAAACCAATGCCTGCTAAGGCCACCAGTGGCCAAGCCACCAGAGCTACCCTGCAGCCCTTCCCAATGGCTGATGCCTCCTCTCTCCTTTTTCCCACAGTGTGAAACCTTTCTCTCAGAACACCTATACTGTCCAGCCTCCGCTGCCTCTGCCAGGTAAGTAATGATGCATGATCCCCTTGTGTGTCAAACCCTATGGCTCCTGCCTTTGGTCCCAGGCTCCCAGCACCTGGGGTCCTGTTAGATGTCATGACATCATGTGTCAAGACCGTACACCCCAATTTTCTCTCTATACCACACTTCCTCATAGGTAACATGGCATCCTGGGGTGACACCAAATGCTGTACTTCTTGCCAGTTGTGCTCAGGCCTGGCTGGGACACAGAATTGGGAGGAAGTGCCTGTGTCCCCAGGCCGCTGTTGTAGGGTATATGTGCTGGTTCTTCAGGCTTCATCCTTAGAGTGCTGCCTATTGTCTCTCAATTGGGAGCTGAAGGGAACTGGCTTGCAAGCCCCTCCCTAGCACCCTTCCTGATGGCTGGAAAGTGCTGTTGGGCAATGTGACAGCAGTGACTTACTGGTTTGGGCCCTTCCTCAGGCCTCAGTGGGCCAGCTCTGACCTTTTCCCAAGAGGCTCCCTCAGCCCCTTCCACGCTGCAGTCCAGGCTAGGCTTTCAACCTTCCTTGGAGAGTGACCAGCTGAGATATTGCAGTTGCAGCCTCTCAGGCTTTCCTGCCACACCTGATGTCTGATCACCGCTTCTTTCACCCACAGAGGGAGCATCACTGAGTCGGGCCCAGTCCTCATGTCCTGTCCTCTTTTCTGTTCTCTTCCCTCTGTCCATGCTGATGCGGTCTGTACTCAGATCCTCCTAGTTCTTGCCTGGATTCCTGCGGTGGCTTCTTAACTGGCTGCCCGAGATTCTCAAAGCATCCCTCTCATCATGGGATTTCCAGGCTTAAATGCTTCCTGGCCCCGTGGTGCTGTGCTAGACTGCTCCTCCTGGGCCATGGTTCCTCCTACCGGCCCCACCCAGGTTAGATGGCCTCTGTTTGCCCATCCAGGGCTCTGCAGACCTTTGTCTATCAGGGGTGTTCTTCCTGTTCGTGTCTGACTGTGCCTCCGAAGCTGGTATCTGCAGATCCTTGTGGGTATCCTGTGCTGTGTTCACAGCAGTTCCTGGGTGCACTGGGGCTGCAGGATGGAAGGGAAGAAAGATTTGGTGGCTGCATTAAGCATGGGCTGGTGTGGTCAGCATGGTTGGCCGCTCTCCTGGACTGTTCTTGGTCTCTTCTTTGTTTTTTGTTTTTTGTTTTTTTTCCCCCTGTGCCTGAGTTCATTGCTTCTGCCCAGGGTACCAGTGGCCACCAGAAGGAAAACCTGATTCATAAAGGCCTTGCCCTTAATGTGCCCCCCCCCAATCCTACCTTTCTTCCACAATGAAGAAGGAATGAAAAACTGCTAAGCTGAGTGACCGAGAGCTTGTCTAGAGTACTCTCAGCATAAAAACCAAAGCTCTCATCTTTTTGTTTTTGGTTTGAGTGGCTTTGGAGGCTGTCCTGGAACTAGCTCTTGCAGACCAGGCTGTCTCGAACTCACTGAGATCCGCCTGCCTCTGCTTCCCAAGTGCTGGGATTAAAGGTATGCACTACCACCGCCCGGTCACAGCTCTCATCTTAAAAGGAATAAGAGATATTTTATTCTGGAGCCATTGTGAGTGACCATGGCCTGGGAACACAGATTTAGGTTACCCCAAGTTTCATATTCCACCCTGGAAATGATTTCACAGGATTTTCATAGTTTTACTGAACAAAGAAAGTCATAAAATCAAGGCAACTTTAAAATACACTGGATACAGCAGAGAGGTGGGTACAAGGAGATGGGGGACCTATTCTATAGGTATAAGATGCTATGTGATGTCACTCTTAGCTCCTGGTGTTCTGCTGAGTTAATGGCTTCTAAGAGCTTTCTATTTATTATCACGAGGTGTTAGTTCAGATACAGAGTGAGTCAAGGCATGGCTGTCCCAGAAGGCTAACACTAGCCCAAGATAAAGTAATCAGCCTCTGACCCTATATATTTCCGGTCTCTCCAGAGCCCTGAAATTCCAATCGGTCCATCAGTCTCGGCGGACACAGAAACTCCTTCCAGGAGTTTTTGTTCACAGCCAGGCACAGCTTCTTTTCAGGAATTTTAGTTCACATTCCCTGCTCTAGGCAGGATTCCATCCCCAGTATTACCAGGAAAAAAAAAAAAAAATTGCAGAACTGACAACTTCCCAGCCCCACTTGATTCGACCATAGGCTTTCCTTGATTTAGGAATAGAATCAATCCATCCTGTTTGCAGCATCTCGGGCTGACTACAGAGCCTGTTTCCAGCCACTACCAGTTCAGACATGCTCTTCAGACATGAAGATGTGGCCTTACAGATTCTCTCAGTTGGTTCCCGTCCCCGTCCCCCACCCCCACCCCCACCCCCACATTCACCTTTCCCTACCCCTACCCCTAACCCTCTAACCCTAACCCTTGTCATTTGAACTAATGACTTCCTTATCTTGCTCAGCCTCAGGAGCACCAAGAAGTCTTCTGTGGTGCCCAGGGCACACCTCTATCAGGCTGGCCCAGGCCTGCCTTCATTAGAACCCTCTGTTGTAGGTGGTGTTCTATGGGTTTTCGGCAACTGTGAGTCCTCCAGGAAACTTCCTGCTCCCAGGGCCTTGGAATCTATTGTGCTAGTTGTTTCAACTGGCTATCTAACTGCCTGGACTAGAAATGGCCCTAGGGCAAGAGTCCTGCTGTGCCTGCCCTGGCAGTTTTCCAGGCAGCCTGTGCTGTTCAGATCCATCTGCCTGGTGCAAGAGCCTGTGCAGAAGCCTGGGACCACTGGCTGGATCTTTCATAGGCTCTGTCCCACCACTGGGCAAGCTTTTCACTGGTTTTGTTCAGTCCTCACTGAGGATAGCAGCAGGGAGGACAATGTGTCTCTCTCCCTTCTTATAGGCTTTGAATCTCCTGCAGGACCCACCCCATCACCCTCTGCTCCGCCAGCTTCCCCATGGCAAGGCCGCAGTGTGGCCAGCTCCAAGCTCTGGATGTTGGAGTTCTCTGCTTTCCTGGAGCGCCAGCAAGATCCTGACACAGTAGGTCTTCCATGTCTGACTGTCTTACCCCAAGAGAGGCCATCTTAATCTCAGAGGCTCTGCCATTGCTGTAGGGCCTCAGTCTTGCAGGCCCAGAGTAGGTTCCCAATCCCACAAGCCCCTGTCCTCAAAGTAAGCCTCAAGTCCTGAAGCTTCTGTCCCCGTGCTACATGCCCCTGTCACTGGAGGCCCTATCCCCATAGTAGGTTCCCTAGTGCCCACCCTAATAAGTGGGTCCCACCCCGGAAGTCCTGCCTCCAGAGTAGACCCCGCAGGCCCAGAGGTCTCACTCCTCCCCACCCCCCTCTGGCTTTCTTACCTTTCTCCCCCTCTCCCTTCAGGGCTTAATAGATTCCTTATTCTTTCTTCTCTCCTCGCCTGCCTGCCCCCTCCTCCTCTGTTCCATGCTTTCCCTTGCTCTCTAGAGCTCTCCCTCTCAGCTCTCTCAGGTTTCTCCACTATCTCCAATTTCTTTTCCTTTCCTCCCAACCCCTGCCCTCCCCCCTGCCCTCCAGTCCTTGTCTATGAGGGGGCGGGGCGCGGGAAGCTGAGGATACAGCAGGTCGCTTCTGACCCATTTTGTCTCCCTCTTCCCAGGGAGGAAAGTGAGGCCCAGAGAGGTAAAGAGATTTGCCCCAGGTCACAAGAGAGGCAGGCAGTTGGGCTGTCTCTCTAGCCTACCCTTTGGCTTCGGATCTCAGACTGATTGTTCTTCGGTCCACAGTACAGCAAGCACCTGTTTGTGCACATTAGCCAGTCGAGCCCAAGCTACAGTGACCCCTACCTCGAAGCCGTGGACATCCACCAGATCTACGACAAATTCCCAGAGAGGAAGGGTGGCCTCAAGGAGCTATTTGAACGGGGGCCTTCTAATGCCTTCTTCCTTGTGAAGTTCTGGGTAAGCTCTGGGCCTCTCCTTCCTTCCTTCACTCAGGGCATTGAGGTGATAGGGAAAGCTGGGAAGAGAGGGCGCCCTGCTGTGGAGGAGGCAGGGTGCTGGGAGGTGAGGAGCACCCACCAGAGGCCACTGCTGGTGGGAGCCAGTGGCGGAATGTGGCAGTGAGACTGTAGACTGTCCCTCTGTCTGTCCTCCGTTCTTCCTTCCACTTCTTACTGTGCTAGGGATAGACAGCATTGCCTCCAGCATGCTAAGGTAGAACCTTCCTGAATCCCACCCTAGCTCAAGAGCCTCTTTTCTGATGGTGGCTGTGGCAGGGTCCTGGTCAGGAACTGGAACCTTAAGGAGGTGGTAGTGTGTGTGTGTGTGTGGAGTGTGTGTGTGTGTGGGTGTGTGTGTGTGTGCAGGGGGGGTGAGAGGTGGGAGGAAAGTCCAGATGGAGCTCTTCATTCTGGGCCTGATGCTGATCCCCATCTGGTTCTCCAGCTGTGAATTTTTTTTCTCTTTTTATTATTATTATTATTATTATTATTATTATTATTATTATTATTATTAATTCAAGTTAGGGAACAGGCTTGTTTCACATGTAATTCCCCTCTCCCTCTTCCCTCCCCTCCTCCCGAACCCCCAACCTATCCTCCACCCCATCCACCCACCACTCCCCAGGCAGGGTAGGACCCCCAACCGGGGCTCCACCAAGTCCACTAAATCTTCCTGTGCTGGGCCTAGGCCCCTCCCCATGTGTTCAGAGACAGAGTGCATCCCTTCAAGTGGGATGGGCTCTCGAAGTCCCCCACACACACCAGGGCAAAACACCAGTCCACCTCCGGAGGCTCCCAGGAGTGCGGGGACCTCCCCATTGGCATCCATGATCAGGGGGTCCAGCTGTGAATTTTATTGGGCTGTTCAGAGCATTGAAAAGAGGAGTGTAGCTAAGGATGTCACCTGCTGTAGCCCAGGCCACCCAAAAGGAAATACCCATGTCTGTCTCCAACAGTCCTGTCCACAGACTTGACCTCTGCTGTCATCCTCATCCCTCGGTGAATGTTGGGTGTCTAGAGCCAATCCATAAGGCACTCTCCTCTGAGACACAGAACTGCCCTCACACCTGGGATCAGCAGCAGAACCGACACAGAGGGTGTCACCTGAGCCTTGGGTTCTTGGCCTGGCGCTAGTCCTTAGTTGGCCCTCCAGTGTCTATCTTGAAGTGTTGAGCCCGACAGACCCTAGAGAAGAGTGTAGCAGAGGGCAGTGTCTGTCACTGCTGCCAGCCAGGCCACCTAAAAGGGAATACCATGTCTATCTCAAACAGTCCCATCCATGAACTTGGCCTGCTCTGCTCTCCTCACCTCACTCCTGGGGAGGTGTTGGGTGGCTAGAGCTGGCCCACAGGTTGCCCTTCTCAGAGACCAGGAGGCACAGAACTGCCTCACATCTTTCTTCTGGGGCCTAGAACACACAGAAGGGGTACAGAGGGGAGGCCAGGCCAGTAGGCAGTAAGGGCTGGAATGGCTTCAGGCACCTCACTGAATTTTCAGACATGGAACTTTTTCCGTCTCTGGTTCCTGTGGCTTCTGCTAACCCCAGAGGCCCACCCAGGTGCCACTTATTAGTTTGCAGTGCTGGAGTGCGCTCTATGTAGCTGCTTGTTTTTTTAAAATTTTGTAGCAGTGGGATTGCAGGTTGAGGACCTCAGCCTTAGTAGACAAGTATTCTACCATCGAGCTGCACCCCAGCCCTACAGGACCCCTCTTTCTACCTCCACCCCAGATTGTCTCAGCCTAATTTGCTCCCAAGCCTTTTGCTAATCTGGAAGTTTCTTGTTCTGAAAAAAAAAACATGTTGACAGTAAACATTTATACAGTATTCCAGCTGGCTTTGGGGCCCTGCCTAGGATTGCCCAGTCCAGCCCAGCTCTCCCTACCACTAAGCCAGCTCTCTGCAGAAGATCCAAGTGCTGAGTTAGAGACCTCGAACCTTACCTTGATGATGTGTATGTACATTTTGTCCTATGATTTCATAGTTAGCTGTTCTCCAAACAGGATGGCGCCTGAACCTGGGTTCCGGGCAGGCAGGATCTGCTAGGCCGAGAGGAGAAAGGCCATTTCTTCCCAAGCAATGTATGAGCAGAAAAGGCAGGAGGGAGCAGAAGAAAGGTGTGTGAGACAGAATAACAGAAAGCATAGTGGTAGCCAGGTGACGGTAGTGCTGAGCCTTTAATCCCAGCATTCAGGAAGCAGAAGCAGGCAGAACTCTGTGAGTTTGAGGCCAGCTTGATCTGCAAAGTGGGTTCCAAAACAAGCAGAGGAGAAACCCTGTCTTTAGGGGGTGGGGTGGGGGGAAGCATAGCAGTTAAATTGAGTTGGCTCCTAGATGATCTTTAAATTAAATTCTAGGGCTTAATTTGTATGGGATGGAAAATAGGAAATGTCTTTTGGGGCGGTGTTGGTGATCAACACAGGGCCTTGTGAGCACAGACTCTACCACTGTGCTACACAGCATTCCATTGATGTTGATAAGTGTGCTCATAGTTACGTTATTAATTCTTTTGCTTTATGCCTAATATCTAATTCTGAGTGATTACATACCATATTTGTCTTTCAGGGTTGTCTGGGTTACCTCACTCAGGATGGTTTTAATTCCAAGAGTCTTTTAAAAGATTTTTTGAATGATTCCTTTTTATTTTATTTTTAATGTGCTTTGTCTACATGTTTTTCTGTGTGCGAGTGTTGGATCCCCTGGAACTGTAGTTACAGACAGGTGTGAGCTGCCATATGGGTGCTGGGAATTGAACCAGGGTCTCTGGAAGAGCAACCCCAACTGTCTTTAATAATGAAAAACACTGGATTCTTGTGTTAATGCCCTCCTAAGTCCCAGAGTGGTAAATTGTAATTTTCTTCTATTTATTTTGAAGAGTATTTATTTATTCATGTATTCTGTGTATATGAGTGCTCTATCTGCATAAACACCTGCATGACAGAGGAGGGCATTGGTCCCATTAGAGATGGTTGTAAGTCAGTATGTGGTTGTGGGGAATTGAACTCAGGACCACTGGAAGAGCAGCAGTGCTCTTAACTGCTGAGTTATCTTTCCAGCCCCCAGGCTTTTTTTAGGTGTTATATCCTGATATATATTCAGGTTGCTGTATCTTGATGTCATAACTAAGGCGTTATAGAGAAATCAGCCACATTACGTCGTTTCCCATCATCTCAGTCTCCTCACATGGGGTGAGTCATAGGCTTTACCAAAAGCCACTTTGAGTATTTGTTTTTTGTTTGACAATGTAGATTGATCACCAAAGAGCTGAAGACTGTATTATGACATTTCCTTTATTATATATCCTTTCTTTTTCCTAGATGTAAGTGGATTTTTATATGAAAATTGAATAGTTTTTAGATGAAGTAATTCATAATATTTTTACAGATTGCTCCATAAGAGCCAGCATATAATAAAACTGGGAAGGAAATTTTTTCCCTGAGTGCTCCTAACTATTACCTTATTAGTCCTTCCTTCCTTTTGGAGATCTTTTTCTTGGGTGCCTCCATTCCCTGCTCCTGAGTGAACTATTAGTTACATATCGGTCAGACTGAGCCTCTCCTATATAATGTCAATAAATAGTCTCTGGGGTCTTGTAGCTCCCATATCGGCAAACCTGACTCGTTAGATTGGAACACATGCTATAGAAAGATCCAAGGGAAAAAAACCCTGCAATATCTAAGTCTATTACCATGACCAGAAGCCGTCTGGGGAAGAAAGAGTTTATTCCATCTTACAGCTTACAGTCCTTCATCTCAGGAGGCCGCGGAGGAGGGCTGTACCGGTTTGTACACACCAACAGCCCAGGGATGGTGTTACCCGAAGTGGCCTGGGCTCCTCCACTTCAGTCAACAAAATGCACCACAGACTTGCCCACAGACCAGTCTTATGGAGGAATTTTCTCAGTTGAGGTCCTTCTTCCCAAATGACTCTAGCTTGTGTCAAGTTGACACAAAATTGACCAGCCCGGCCTGTTTGGAGTGTGTGTGTGTGTGTGTGTGTGTGTGTGTGTGTGTGTGTGTGACATGATAGGAAATCTAGATCAAAAACCATTTTCTCTATTTTTGCTTGGTGCTAGGTATTGAATGCATAGCTTTTGCACATTGGAGGCACACACACACACACACACACACACACACACACACACACCACACACACCACACACACACACGCATGCACGCAGGGACTGGGTATTGGTATATATTCACGCTGATCTAGAACTCAAGACCTTTCCGTCTCAGCTTCCTGGGTTCTGGGATTGCAAGCATCCACTCCCACACCTGAAGTACAACAGCCGTTTGTAAGTTCATTGCTCCACTGTCTTCCAATGTGTGTGTCTGATGCCTTTCTGATTCCCTATATATACATAGAGAATTATGTAATTATGTGACCTGCTTTCTTATTCTCTGGTTTTCACACCTCCTCAATTTCTGTTTTCGTCCGTTTCTCACTGATGATCTTTGGGTTATGTATTGTCTCCCGCTCTGTACTTGGGTAACCACCTTTAATCGTAAGCTTAGAATCTTTCTATTCTGTTATTTCTTTGGCCATTTTACTCACTCTTATTTTCCTGAATCTCCATTGCTGCCCTACTTCCTGGCTTATTCTTTTTGCTTTTGTTTTTTAGGGGGTGGCAGGGGAGTTGAAACTGAATCTCACTGTATAGTCTAGGCTAGCCTGGGACTGTTATATAGCTCAGGCTGTCCTCAAACTTGTAGTGATCCTCCTGTCTCAGCCTCCCAGGAGCCAGGAGTACTGGCATGAGTCATCAATGTATTTGTGTGTTGTGTGTCTCTTGTTGGCCTGATTAGGCCAAAGAGTCCCAGGGATCCACCTGTCTCTCTCCCTAGGGCTGGGATGACAAGTATGGCATTGAGTCTGACTTTTGTGTGTGGGTTATGGAGGCTTTCATTCTTGAGAGGCAAGTCCCTCAACTGTCATTTTTATATTTTCCAGTTTTTAAC